AAAGTATTGGCCTCTATGGCTTACACCAACAACCTCAACTTTAGTATATATTAGGTATAATTTACGTTATAGTGTATATATTGCGTTATCGTGTAAATATCATTGAGTTTGATTGATTTTATCTCGTTTTTGTAGGTATTTAAACATTAATATTTAGGAATTGTTAGATAGAACATTGAATAATCTTTCCAACGCTTCCGGTTGTGCGTAAATAAGAGTTATGGTTCTTAAGTTATGGCCGAAACAATGCTGATTTTTCTGTTTATTGTCAGTTGTCACTCCTTGGTCGCCGGGCAACGCTGGGGCGACCAGAAGTGTGAAAAATTGTCTTCTTGAGCGTCAGGCGATGCTTTTTGAGCGTCGGGCGATGCGGGTTGGGCATAAATGCATATTTAGATTAAAAACACATTTTTTTGATTGTGGTTGAGTATTTTTGGTCTCAATTCATCAAGCCTTCATTTTTTTGTCTAGAGAGCTTAGAAAACAACAATGAATCATGCATCTTGATGATTAGGAGTCAGATTTCTCATGAATTGGCGTTGACAACCCGTGAGATGTTTGATGTTTCTTATTTTCTTATTTATGTATTTCTCTATTTGTTGGGTTTCGTTTGTAGATTTACTTTAAACATATGTATACGTATTGATCATGGTGTTGTATAAAGCTTGGTTTACAAATCAATCTTGATGTCTTATTTGATCTTTTTGCTTTATGTTTGGATTTGGGTTGTTATAGACATATACCTCACAAATCTTGATTAGGGATGGATATCTATTAGTTTCTAGATTCTAGAGATAGATTTAGAGTTAATAACCATTGTGTGTATCAAAGATTAATTCCTCTGTTATTCGTGTTGTGCTGAGAGATCGTCAACGCGAGTAATACGGTTGTCTCCAACTTTGTGTTAGACATAACCTCTATTGTAGAACATTTCAAGAGATACTTGATGATTTTGACGAGTATTGTAGGTTAAGTGCGACTAATCGATAAGTTTAAGTTTGTGACGAGTAGTTTATTTGTATGCCTGATAAGTTTCTCCTTTCTGAAGAATGTATTTATTTTCCTGTTAATAGTTTTTCCTTTCTATTTTCCTGTGAGAGACAAATTGTTTCGAGTATCTGTTTGAGCATGAAGTGGATCCTGTTAAGGAGTATGGTCTTGAAGTAGCCTGCTTTCAGGACATAACTCAATCACCCAAAGGGGATGTTGTCTTAAAAACTCCGTGAGCCTATTCATTTCTCTGTGAGTTTGAGGTGAAGAAACAAATTGTCTGGTTACCCTAAAGGGTAGAGATGCAGTTGAATACTGCGTTCAGTAAGAGCTTAATTAATCTGGGGAAATTATGTCAAGATTCAAATAATCTCTTAAAGTGATGAGTAATCAGGGGCATACACCCAAGCGGGGTTGAAACCATTTCCAACTTTGTTTAGCCATGTGCAATGTTCCATAGTTCATAACACTGGGGAAAACTATTCATGACGGTGCAGATCTCAGGAATGTCCTCTCGGCACGAATTTCATCAAAATCCCTACAGACTGAGGCAGAGCAGTATGCAGGGGCATTCTTCCACTTCAGAGTTAATCAAGTTAGGTCCAGGAGCATGATAAAAAACTTGTGAATCTGAAGAGCATGTCGAGAAGTTAGATTCGTTATCCTCGGAAGAGATCAAATATTTAAGTCCAGGTATTGGTGTTCCTCATCAGCTCATCAGAGATTTAAGTCCAGGTATTGGCGTTCCTCATCAGCTTATTAGAGATTTAAGTCTAGGTATTGGCGTTCCTCATCAGCTCATTAGAGATTTAAGTCCACGTATTGGCATTCCTCATCGGCTCATCAGAGATTTAAGTCCAGAGTGTTGGCGTTCCTCGTCAGCTCATCTAAGATTTAAGTCTAACTTGTTGCGTTCTTCAACAAAAGACGAGACTTTATCCTTTGAGTTCCCAACAGATATCTTTGCTTCAGCGTATTTCATATAGTAATCACCATTGCATTGCATCCACCCAAAACGCGTAGCATTCCCATCGATATGGAGCATTACGCTAAAAAATATCGAACATGCATTGAAGCATAAGCCAGATTTAAGTTTTTTTTCAAGCACCCTTTACATCTCCAAAGAGTATTCTATCCATAAAAAATCCCATGTGGTATTCCCTACAGGTTTTCCTCAAAACATATCTTCTTATTGTTTCTATATGCAAGCATCCTTGACCTCGTGTCAGTTTCTCACAAGTCTAGTCCAATTCATATACCTAGCGTCTTGCTTTAAGAAAACTCTTGTTGCAGAAATTTTACTCGTGATTTCCTTTGCAGTTAGAGTGTGAGCCAGAGTTGGTGTATAACTTGTCTTTCTTCTCAATTATTTGAGCATTTATACTTTGTGTGTGGCAATTCAGATAATTTCCACTCTTGAAGAATTATACCTCGCCTCTGGTATGAGTGATAATGTAGTTCTTGCACTTTTTCAAACATCAATACCCTTTTAAAAACCCAACTTAGGTTGGAAATCCTTGTCCATAGTCCCTTTTATCTGGTCTCTTTTTCACTTGTAAGTTTTCCTTCGGTCGGCGTTTCGTTCAGATTCAAATTCTAATTGTATCCCCACTTAAGTTTGCATTTGGTCGGCATTCTTAGGAGTCTACCTTCGGCTAGTATTCCTTGTTAGAGCCCCATTCGGTCGGTTTCTTTCTTTTATATATGTCTTTCCTCGGCTTGACATATATTCAACATCTTTGTCAGAGTCTACCTTCAGCTAGTCTTCCTTTTTAGAATCCCCTTCGGTGGGTCTCTTTCTGTTATATGTCTTCCCTCGGTCTGACATATATTTCAAACACCTGTTTGGCGTTGTTACCAATACCAGTAACCCTGCTATTTGTTCGTTTTACCAATCACCTGATTGAAGCCTTCTGGTAGCCCTACCGTTGACAGTAACCTTATTGTTTACCAAATCATTCTTGTTTTTACCCGGTAACCCTACCGATGTCCACAACCTGAAGATGTTTACCTTTTCCAATCACCCGATTAAAGCCTTCCGGTAACCCTACCTACTTTAGCAACCTTGCTATCTTTGTTTTCCAAATCACCTGATTAAAGCCTTCTGGTAACCTTACTGAATCCAAACATTCGTTCCTTAATAGTTATTTTCCATAACCTGATCATTTCCCAATAACCTTATTGTCCAGTCTTTCATTCGTGAATTCCCAATATATATATATATATATATATATATATATATATATATATATATATATTCTCTGCCATGTGCATGAGAAGTGTTATTCCCCAACGGAGCTCGTATCCACCTTTTGCAAGTATGTTTGATTAAGCATCATTTCCATCTTCCATTCGCCTTTGCAGATATGCAACACAATTTCTCTTTCCTTCGAGGAAAACTTTTGGGAATATCATACCATTACCCGCTGAAACTTGTTAGTGGAGGCATCTAAAAAGAAAAAAAATCATAAATATCATCCACCCGTTCTTCTTAGCGCAAATTTTCAGGTTCTTTTAGTATTTAATCTTCTTCTACCTTGAAAGTTCGAAACGCTAGCGCCAATCTCACCTTCAGGTTTAAGACGATTAAATATGAGCAGTTCTTGCACCCCAAAATTTACCCTCATAATGTTACTTTTATCTAGTTTAGGCTTTTGCATTCGTCTGCATACATTCCATTAGGTTATTAACGTAACATGACATTCCATTCAATAAAAAGCACCTGAGGTTCAAAAGGTTCAGTGGTTGTGCAATATTAGGGTTTTTTGTTGGTTTGAAGTGTATATATCAAATGAAGTCTGAATTCTCTAGTTCTTCTTGGTATGTTGAGTTGTAGAATTAGGATTATGAATAATTGTTGTCCTGAACTTCTTCTCTTCAAGCTGCAAGGCTTTTAGGGTTTATTTCCCTATGTGCGATCAAAGTTAGGGTTTGTCAATAATTGTGCTCCAATCGAGTTTTTCTTAAAGGATCATGGAATTAGGGTTTGGCTATTCATTGGTTTCACATTCATTATGCACAATTGTTTCATCGATTGAGACTCAGTGGATTATAGTTGCATCTCATGGGCTATCTTGAGCATCCTTCAAGTCTTGTCTTCTCAAAATCTCAAATGCATCTCAAGTGGATTAGGGTTCTTATCCATGGTGTTGGCGCTTGTTAATTCAATTTGAGGTTTATTAGAGGTGTTCTCCTCTGGTCCGAGTATCATTTCCGTTTTTAGAGACTCTTCAAGGCATTAGAGTTGTATAAGTGCAACTCATGGCATGGGAGATGAACTTGTGTACTCATTTGGATCGGGACAATTTTGGTTCTCATCATTATTACTTGTTGCTTGTAATATAAGTGGATTTGGAATTGAGATTAAATTGAAATAATTGATATGCATTTATTAATTGGTTAATATTCATTCAAGTTGTTTAATGTGTTCAATTAGATCAAATTTTGCTTGGAAAATCAAAGAGTTTGTGCCTAAAGCTTTCTTAAGAGGCGGGTTACGAGACTTACGTCATTCCGTTCATTAAGTGTCATTCATCGCTCTCCAACCTTATCTCACAAGTCTAAGTTCAAATTCAAGGGTTCAAAACATATTTTTGTGATTCGAGGTCCATACATCACCATGTTTCATACAAGATTCATCCATATAAAAGTTTCAAGACAAATTTTATTCAAAATTATTCAAGTTTCATTCTAGTCCATCAATAATATCCAAATACTTCAAACGAGGTTCTTAAGGTGTAAGAAAGCCATTCATGATTTCTTCAAAGTTCCATATATGGATTCCATTCAAGATTCAAGCTGAATTTGCAGAGCTCGTGATTAAAACTTCATTGAATTTTGGACTTAGAGCAGAAGATGAAACTTTAGACAAGCTACAGTACTATTGGAAAAATCACAACAAAAATAAGGATTGCTAAAATTCAGATATGCCTTCATATTGCCCGCCTCCATGATCTTTTCATCTTCAAACCTGCAAGTTCTTCCGGTAGGTAACCAATTCCTATTTCTCATTATGCACTATTTTCGTCTATGTTGATGAACGGATACGAAATCTGAGATGAGACGAAACCGAAACGAAGCAGAATCCATGAACGGAAGCATCGGAGGTTGAATCGCTGAGCAATCGAATCTATGAGATGGCGGTCGAATGAAGAGGACGAGACGGAGGTCGAAATAGAGGCGGAAAGCTGAAATGGAGGAGTACGTTTTGCTGCGGCGGCGCTATGAGTCGAGTGAATTGAAGATGAATCCGCGAATGGTTGATGTTGAAGACGGAGCGAGGCTCGTCGGAATCGGTATGAGACGAAGATTCGTGGTGTTGAGACGGAACTGTGAGAAGAGCAAATAGATTCGTGGTGAGAAGAGGAAGCCGAGCGATTGCTGATGGAGTTGGACCGGATTACCTTTTCCTTTGGCCCATAACTAGAGCTTATGAACAAAAAATTGAATGGGCTTAAGCGTGTGGGCTTAGCTTTTTGTTAGTCCACAACCTTTATTTGGTTCTGCACCCCCTTAGTGATACTTTTGATAATTGCTTACTAATTGTTTTCAATTGTTGTTTTTCCCTCAATTTCTTTTTTTTTTCCCTATCATGAAATATAAAAAATATTAGTATAGAATATTATTTTTCTTGTTATTTTTTCTTGTGTGATCTTGCCACGTTTCCTTAGGCTTTTTAGTTCAATTTTAATCCTTCGATTAAATTGAATTAATATACTTTAGGATTTAAAACCAAACATGCTAACATTAGGTAAATATCTCCCTTTTTATCCTATCTTTAGGACTACCATTGAATGATAACATTAGGATTATTTTTCTTAGACTTTTTCATTCCCCTTTTGCATCTTTAAAACTAAAACTTCATTTTCTTAATAAAAACTCAAAAGCACTTAATCAATAAATATGCGAACCATGTGTTACGAGCCTTAAGCATTATGGAGAAGATGAGGGGGATAATTCTCAACCACGTGCTTCCTTTTCAATCATACACTTTAATGTGGTTCAAATCACCAAATCATTTTTCAAGGTAAAAAAAATAAATCAATTCAAACCTTTTGCCTTCAGACCGCCTTCGGGCTTTTCTTTGAAAACCTTTTCACAAAAAATGATGTGTTATTTCCTCTCCACGCAAATGACACGTAATTCCCCATAGGTCGGGTTGCAATATGTCAACTGCTAGAGTGCAAAAAGTACAAAACAAACCAAACACCTTTTTAGGTGAACTACAAGTCCCTTGATCTCTCATTGCACAAAGCGGGTACGTACACACAAAGGATTGCAACCACGCAGGCACAACTAATAAAAACTTTCTTTTTGTATATATGATCGGAAAAATAACAAGTGTACTATTTTCACTAATGTAGTAATAATGGGGTTATCCCAAAGTATCGATCTCGAGGACTATGTAGGAAATACTGAGTTTTATTATTAATTAAACCAAACAAAACAATAGTTTTGGGTTTGATTGGAATAAATCCTTGCGAAAGATTAAATGACTGAATGTAAAATGTGACTTTTTCTGTTTGATTAAAAGATGCGAGGGGTGAGTGTATAATTTGCCATGAAATAACAATGTTTTCTTTTCAGGGATCTTCTGAAAAAGCAATCAAGGATGGAAGAATCTACTTTGAAGACAAAGGGAGGTTGCAGATGAAAGTTGATTCAGACCCTTTGCAAGTAGGAGATGCTCATTACTCAGAGCCTTCTGAAATTCATATGGTGGAAGCTACTGATGGCTTCGATAAGAACAAAGTTACTGAGGGCTTCGACAAGGGCGAAATTGTTGAAGGTTTCGAACAAAAGAATGTAATCTCCAAGGTTATTGATAACCTTAGCAAATAAATTAAGAATATGGAGATTACTGAAGATCTCAACATCAAAATCAACATGGTCGATGCCACCAAAGAAGTTTACATGGGTAGTGGCGAAGAGATGGTCTCTCAACACACTGAGGACCAAATGTGGGTGGCCTACCCCAAAAGTGACGAGAATCTGGTGGAATTCTTGCATTGTTTCTAGAGAAAGAACTCCGAAGTAATGTTGTGCCCCAAGTGCAACTCTGTGTATAATAAAAAGGCTGCAGAAAACATTGAAAGAACATGGATGGCTAGTCGATGAAAAAACTAGAAGGATGCAAGAAGGAAGTTCACTTTCGACAAAAGAGGTGTTCCCCGTAGTCAGTAATAGAGGCCTCAAGATCTCAGGGCGAATAAGCAAGTTACTTTTAAGCCTACTACCAACTCTCCAACAGATAGGTGGACTGGGCCTATGGAGAAAAAGGAGCAAGGCCAAGGAAAATGTCGCAGTTTTGAGTTGGGAAGAGGTTACTCCATTACTCATCGAAGAGAATTTCAAGTATTCAAAAAACAAACTTACAGATCTAAAAATTATAAAGGGAAGAATCATATGTCCAGATCACAGTAGAGGCACCAACAAAGAAGGAAGAAAGCTAAGCGTGAAGCTACTAAGAAGAGAATAACTGAATCCAGCAGTAACCAACCCCATATTAGGGTTTAAGTTGAAGAGAAAAATCCAATTGGCAGAAAATTTTTTGTGTAAAAAAAAAGAACCTAAAGAGGAACCAATGAAACAACCATTGATTGATGATGACATGTTAACTGGAAACTTCAATTTAGATTCAGACTCCTCACTCAACATAAACTGCAACGTGGTATCAGTTCTACATTTAGAATATGACCAAATTACCAAAGTTGAGGAAACTTAGATTAACGAAGAAGATGTGAGTACAACTTCACCATTAGATGTTTTGCATAATGTCAAAACTAGGAAAACTTAGCATTTTTTTATATTGGACGGTATCTCTATTTCTTGTGGAACTCCTTTGAATTAGGGGTCTCAGGAACCATTAAAAACCATTTTCAAATTGACAAAAGTCTTGAAAAACAAGTTTCTGCATAAATTTTTATTGCATGTGTCGACACTGTTGTACCCCAATTTTTTCCCCTAAGATCCCTTCATTATACCATGTTGAGTCATTCACAATAAGATCACATTAGGATTCTTGGTTCCCCTCCCTATCATTAGCTTTTCTCTTTGAGGAATCACCAAGCACCTTGACTTGTGTTCTTTTGTGATCAGGAATATTTTTGTCTTGATTTCTCCTCTTAATTAATAAAATGCAATGTTGGTTTGTCTTGCTTGTTACTAATATAGGTAAAGGCAATGAGATTTAACAAGTTGCTCCATGGGTTCATGAATTTATTTCCATGCCCTTATCAATAAAGCTTGGGAAGTTCAAACCTCACCATTGAAGTTGTTTTGGAAGAAATGGCATGGAAAGGTTATTTTGGTTCACCATATTTCAAGGTTATCAAATTTTGTTCAAAAGCACAAGGGATTGATTGGAGAAGTTGTCATGCTTGGACAACGCTTTGTTCCCATTGGTCACAAATGCATATTTCTCTTAATTCTCAAGATATGGAAGTGGTTGTGGTTGCTATGAGTTCTCATTATCATCCTCAACAACTTATATTTACAAAGCATTTGTGTTGGTACAAGAAGTTTGTTCAAAATTATCAAAGTTCCTCAAAGCATGTTTCTTGATCTAGGAGCTAGGGTTTTAAACTTCAAAGGAGTATATCTTGCTCATATTTTGGTACTTTTGAGTGATTCCAAATACATCCTTCTATTCAAATGGTTATCAACAAATCACTTCCAAATTTCCAAGGAGTTTTCATGTGGGAGAAACTTGATGAAGAAGAAAGATTACAAGTCCTTCAGATAAATCTCCAATTTTCCATGTGTGACTTCAAATGATCATAACATGGTCAATATTTATCACCTTTATCCCATCCTTTTTCCATAATGATCTTTAGGATGTGAACTTTATGCCTCATTTTATGTGAAAAGTGAGAAAATGGATAGAAGTTGCCTTAAGGATACAAAAGATTATAGGTCATTCCATGATTTTTTGCCAACTTCAACAATTCATAACTCTATTAATTTTTGGATATTTTGAATAGTTCAAGTTCCAAAATGTCATTCAAGAGGTCTATTTCATGCCATATTTTTTGGTCAAGAGGAAGGCCATATTTCGATGCAAAACATTATAGGTCACTTTTGAAGAAAAATTTGAAATATTTCTAAGTATGGAAAGTCAACCCTTTTTCTTCAACTTTGACTCAATGCAACTTTCAACTCAATAATCCATTTGATCCCATTATTTTTCCATTGCAAAGCTTGTAACCTCATCTTTCTAAAGCATCAAGGATCGTGCCCTAAGACCCCTTGAGCTGAGAATGCCATGATTTTGAAGTTGGTAACTTGGAACTGAAGTTTCATCTCAAGGTCAGATTTTGAAATCTTTGTTTTTGCTTCTAATCACATGTTTTCCATGCATTTATGCCTCTAAACATGTTTAATGAATTTCCAGAATTGTTTAGCACAACAAAACGCGCATTTTGGATGAGTTTTGATCAAATTAGAAGTAACACTTTTCATGTTTGCAACTTCACACGATTTCCCTCCAAACATCATCATTTCACACGCTTGGACATTCCATTTGATTCCCTATAAATAGAGGGTCATCCACCATTCATTTCCTCAAGCTTGGATAGTCAGAATCACCCTGCCAAACTTGTTCCATAACTCAAAAATTCAGCAACTTCAAAATCCATTCTCAAGCCTTTTTCAATCCAATTTTTCCATCAATTCACCTTCCTTGATCTTCCCTGAAGCTAACCATATAATTACATTCAAGAATTGTGCCCTATATTTCTCCATAGAAGTCCAGTTTCAGAGCTCTGCAACTCAACTTCAATAGGTAGATTCCTTCATCAATTCTTCAAAACTTTGATATCATTGTGATGCTCTCATTTCCCTGGTTCTAGTTGCAACACTTTTTTTTACTGGAAACACGTTTTGACCATGAAATTTCAAATCCCTTTTCAAAACTTTCCTTCCAAGTCGCGAAGGTGTGGTTGTCTTCGTCTTGAAGAGACGAAGCGAATGTCATAGGTCTTGTGCTCTAATTTTACAGATTGGGCAACCTGGTTTTGGGACTGGCTGGTGGTTGAAGATGACCAACATGTCATCTTCCAACCAATGAAGGCGCGCCATTTGTGTTTTTCAAAAATCTGATTTAATTAATGATCCTATGCATTATTCACTAAAGTCCATAACATGCACAACGTGCCAGGTCAACTTGATCTGTTTACTAACGTGTTTTGACATTGATCAGATGGGCCATATTTTTTTGGTTTTTATTTTCTTTTCTGATTTTTATATTTAATTGTTTTAAACTTCAAAAAATCATAGAAAATTCATTTTTAGTCCAAAAATTCTGAAAAAATTATTAAAAATATTGATTATTCTCTTTTTGATTTTTATTTTTTCCCAATTTAATTTTGTGTTTTGGTATTTTTTATAAATTTTCACTTTAGTTGAATTGTTTTAAATGTTTAAAAATACTTTTATGCATTTTTAAATTCTGAAAAAATTATGGAATGATCAAATGATATTGTGACAAATATTGGTGACCTCACTTATTTTTTATTTCTGACTTTGGTATTTTTTATCATTTTTAGTTTATTTTACTCATTTCTTTTAATTTTAAAAATAGTCTCTGACTTTAAAAAATTACCAAAAAATTTATAAAATCATTTGAGTCCTTTTCTGATTTTTCTATGGACTTACATTTTATTTCTTGATAAATTTGAACATAGTTGATACTTTTCTCTTTTATTTCTATTTTAAATCATTTTTTTAAAGCTTTTTTGTATGTATTAAATGTAATATTATTTTTTGACTCTTTTCTGGCTGATCTTGGGTTACATTTTTGATAATGAACTTTATTAACATCATTGGATCCATGGTGTTGAGTCTAACTCCACAAAAATGGATGAATGATTTTAATAATAGTTTGATTAAATTTAATTCAAAAGTGGTTTGTATATTCTCTCCCACCCCCTTCATCTCATCCCTTTCTTATTGCACTAAGTGTTATTGGAGCATGATCTCTATATCTTGTCTCAAAATAAATGGTGCATAAATTGCTATTGACCGGCCTCAATATAGGTGCGACTTCTATATAAGTCCACTTACGATTGCTTAACATAGCACTAAATTTTGTCCCGATTCGAATAAATGATCATTCGTGGCCCAAACTTATGTTTGCAAGCCCAAGTATGTTAATTTGATCTCTTTGATCCAATAACCTTGAGATTCATTGTGTGGAGGCTTTGGTTCTACCAATCCTCTAATGGATCTACAACACCTTTGGTCAACGCGGATCACTTAAATATCGTTGATCATTAAATGGTACTCATGAAGATTCCAAATAGATGATATACTTGACAAAAAGCAAATGCAACTTGTTGTGTGGAGGCTTTGGTTCTACCAATCCTCTAATGAGTTCCAAATGCAAGTTTCAAGATGATCGTCCAACTAACCACTAATCACTAATAATTGACTTTATCCTTTATTTTTATTATATGTCCCCTTTATTTTTATCCACTATCTACTTTTAGCATTTACATTTCATTCCATTTTCATCTTTTCTCATTTGAATATTTACTTTCTTGTCATTTTTATTTTTGCTCACTTGAGATTTACTTTTCTTTTTCAAAACACCTAATAATCAACATAAACCCTAAAAATCTTTAATGATACTTGGACAATTTGGTTAATATCCTTGGCATTATGGAGCATTGGACTTTTTGGACTTAGGATTAGAAACCTTGGCCTATGATTGAAGACCTTGTGACCTTATCTGATTATTTTGTCTGGAGCTCTTGAGGTTTACTTCAAGACATTGAGTTCTTTGTTTGTTTTGTGAGCAGGTTATTGTGATTACACTCTTTGTTTGTAATATGGAATTCACCCGTATAAAGCCGTTACTCTGCCCAAATTTTGTGAAGACTTAATACACTTGAAGTTTGGTTCTTTCAAGAGGTCTAGTATCATTGCTTGTTTGGTTTCAATCCAAAGAATTAGAATTCTATCTTGGCTCATAGTTTCAAGTATTGGCTTCTTGTTGGTTAGATGGTTCTTATCCCTAGCTTTTACCTTATGCTTTAGGATAGTCCTTTCTTCTCCTCCCATCTTCTTTAATTTCAAAAATCTTCTCTCCCCTTTTGAAATTTTTTTTTTTTTTTTAACTTGAACCACTTTCATAATAAACTTGGACTTAGGTCCATGCATTTTCAAAACAATTTCATAAATAAACTTTAATAAACTTAATAATACTTTGACTTTTTTTTGTGAGAATACTAAAAGTCAATCAATCTCATTTCAAACCATTCTGCCACTTTGGCTTTTATCTTTAAATTTTTCTCAAAAAGATTGGACTCTTGTCAATCCTTGTAGTGATGCAAACAACT